CTGACATCAAATTTGTCTGGTTGGGTTAATTTCTATACGTAAGCCTTGCCACGACTCTCAATATGTGGATATCACTGGTTATAGGCAGGCGCGATCGCAATTTCTTTAAGTCTCTTATTTACCAAACACCAAAGACTCGTGATCGCCATCTGTTTCAATACCGACACGTTCGATTCCTCTAGGAGAGTTGACGAGATGAAACTGCAAGAGATGATATGCAGCGCTCTTCTGCAGTAACATATATCGTACCGACTTCGCCCCATAAATAATTTGTTTTAAGATGTCTAAAACCTATATAGAAACCTAGCGCAGAGGGAACTGGTATATGTCAGACACGAAATGTTTAATATTTGGTGAAAGTGCCATGGGATACGAAACACGCTCGGCTCTTCTACAATATGCCACCCCCCTCCCCTCATTTGTCTCTTAAAATTTAATTTTTATGGTGAAATTTATGGCGTTTCAAAATTACGCTGTGTAACCCAACAGAGGTAGCCACGGTGGTCTAGCGGTTAGAACGCTGGCCTTGTAATCCTGGGGTCTCGGGTTCGATTCCCGGCGGTGCCCGCATTTATAACTTGTGTTGGGCAAGGCCGTGGCCTAGGCAACACGGAGTTTTCCTCCGCGGGCTTCCCCGGTTTCTCCGTGGCATCCCAACAATTACTCCATTCACACACAGAAGAAGGCAATGGCAAACCACTTCTGGATCATCTGCCAAGAACGTATATGAACAGGTCCCAGTCCGAGAAAAGGATGGAAGGATCCCGTTCATATGGACCTGTCGTCAGACAGAACACTAAATAATAATAAGATGAGGTGGTCTAGCGGTTAGAACGCTGGCCTTGTAATCCTGGGGTCTCGGGTTCGATTCCCGGTTATAACTTGTGTTGGGCAAGGCCGTGGCCTAGGCAACACGGAGTTTTCCTCCGCGGGCTTCCCCGGTTTCTCCGTGGCATCCCAACAATTACTCCATTCACACACAGAAGAAGGCAATGGCAAACCACTTCTGGATCATCTGCCAAGAACGTATATGAACAGGTCCCAGTCCGAGAAAAGGATGGAAGGATCCCGTTCATATGGACCTGTCGTCAGACAGAACACTAAATAAATAATAACCCAACAGATCTCGACCCTTCATTTTCGTCTGACGTCCTTTTTCCATCAGTTCCTTTGTTGTTTACACACAAAGTCAGGACAAGGAAGGAATCGATGACTTCATAAATAAAACGTACTTAATGTGACGTCATACTAATATAAATTAATGGGATTTTTGTATATAAGGCGTCTAGTTACATATATAGCTACCACAGGACTCTTTAACCAACTGGCGTTACAACTGGATATTTAAAAATGTCGAAAATAATTTTAAGGTTTTTTAACGACGATGTTACAACTGCAAAAAATTTTTGTAACATGATATCTCAGTCGAGACACCCCCGGTCGAGATCCTAACCTGACACCTCCCGAATATAAGTCTATATCGTTCGGCAGAAACAAAATATGAGAGAAGACACGTGTCCTTGAATTTATAAAACAAAAACAGTGTATCAACTACACGGAAATTTGCAATTCACATGTCATTTTTATAACATCTTGGATAGAATTTATAAAATGGTTATAAAATATCTGGTTTCATGCAATACGTCCTTCTAGACACGCGAAAAACAAATCGGACTGAAATAACAGAGTTACGTAATACTTTGATCGATCATCCGTAAAATAAAAACGGTCCATGAAATAAACATGTACGTTGATGTAATATTCATATATTTAAATTCTTCATAGAATGAAAATGTTCTAAATTTGCCTCGCTTACCGTTCACTTACACGTGCGTGTCATTTTCAATACCACGTGAAATCTCTCTGCACCTCAATCGGCTTCAGTAAAACCGAAGTCCGCTCCAATAAGCACGACTCCAATGCAAAGTGTTGTGTTTTCTTCGCGGTACGGACTGAATTCTTAAGTTTCATTTGAAAGAGCTTCGGCTCCAAAGGTTAATTAGCGTTTTAGTCGTATTATTTCCTTAAACAAGGTTAACCAGTTGATCTTTGTAATGGTGAAGTGTAGTGTTTTCTTCGCGGTACGGACTGAATTCTTAAGTTTCATTTGAAAGAGCTTCGGCTCCAAAGGTTAATTAGCGTTTTAGTCGTATTATTTCCTTAAACAAGGTTAACCAGTTGATCTTTGTAATGGTGAAGTGTAGTGTTTTCTTCGCGGTACGGACTGAATGTTTAAATACTGTTTAAATGAGCTTCGTAATTTATAGGGTTAAATTACAGATAAATCCAGTTTCTTGCTTCACGCAATATAAAACAGTTTAGATGAGTAGTTAAAACGCTGAAGTCGTCTGGCGCCTCAATTAGCAGGGGAATAATACTTCCTGCAATTATATTACGTTCATTTTATAACGCGTCTGGTAGATACGTCGTAGGCAGGCTATACTAGAAATAAATAGGTGAAGGGTACAGGTCTGGTGAGAGTGAAAGTGTTCCAAAGTACCAATGTTCACACACACACACACACACACACAGATTGTTTTTAGCAATCCACAGCGTCAAATCCATTTACGTTCCTTCTCAAATCAAGTCAGTTCCAAGTGTTTTCCTGCTCTGTGAAAGTGGATTGTAAATTTACTAGTTAGCTAACAGTATTGCGGGGGAGGGGAGTAAGAATGTTCTGAGCGATTGAAACATGCAATGGGATCTTGAGTTATCCTCTTAGCCTCCACTCTATAGATGGATTTACCACATTGGATTTATATAGATCAGCTGAGAAGAAGAACTGTAGTATGTATAGCTTTCATTCTACTGAATTCAACCCCAAACACTAATTGAATTACCAGAATAACGGTATTCTATAAACCTTTCAGAGATACAATCGATATATATCGTTTATAAACATAATTCTCTTGTGTTCTGAATAATTTGTAATTGCTGGGTGAGACGAAACGTCGACAGGAGGGAAATTACCTGACTAGTCAAGACGTCCTTGCTGCCTCCATGAACAAGACAAACATGTCGGCAGCTATGACATCTGAAACGTCGGTAAACTTCTACCACACTACACGGCGCTAACAGTGAAGACAGCCATCTCAAACAAAGCCTTTTTCTTAACAGTTCTGTTGACTTAGGTCACTAATGTCTTCACTAGCGGACTATGAAAATTGTAAATAAAAACAGCACCACTACTCGTTGTTAATTTCAATATACTAGCTCACCATTTTGAGGTTATTGTTCCAGGCCTTGTCCTGTTCCCTGAGGCAGCTAAGTCCATCGCCACTAGGATCATTTTCGCTATATAATAAATGTCGCCGGACGTTTCATATTCCAATAATACGACAACAGTTTTGCTTTCAAACACACAATAACAACACAAACCCACCATTTTGGACGGAAGTGACGTAATTTTGATACGATCTATTCTATAGATAATCTGTGATGAGGTATAGAATCAGAGATATTTAGGGTAAGCTTAGTGCGAACAGTAGATACACCTGGTGGTAGAAAACATTTAACAAAATAAAAATATTTGTAACCACAGGCCAAATTATACAATTTATATGAAAATCAACCTCTTGGTATAGCAGGCCTATTTAGTTGGCGTTGGGGCCCGAAAATGCTCAGGAACTTGAAGAACGGATCGCCAAAGTATCAGAGTAAAGTAATATTTAGTTTGCAGTATTTGTCCACAAGGACACAAGCAGCTGTTTTGAACTACTGTTTTGGTACAGACTTCTTCCGAAAAATCCTAATTAGGAGATGGGTTTATTGAATCATGTTGGCTCAATATAATTAAATTTACGTTGTGTATTGGTTAAACAGGAAAAAAATAAAACTTTGGGGACATTTTAGTAATTAAGAGGCTACATAACTTTAAATACGTGGTTCATACTTTAATTCGGAACAAGAAACCGCCCCTCACAAATGGAATATCACATATTCGCTCATATTTTAAATACCGAGTCTACAATTTATGAGGTTACGGTCGTGCTTACATTGCGTTATCGGCCGCTGCTATTGACGTAGGCGGGACTTTAACACGTCAGTCACGGTCGAGTCAGTTTCGGTGCCGCTAGTAACAACGAACTACGAATATTTCTCGTCACTGATACATGTTATTACATTAATTGTTTTTACCTTAAATCACAAAAGATATTCAAAGTGACTTCCCTGTGCTTGCAGGCAACTTCATATCTCGTTAATCGAAATACTCAGTCAAGATAAATTTATGGAGATAACCTCATAAAATAAGATTTGTTTTCTTACATATTAAATCAAAAAAAAAAGAACAAATATGGAACTTTAAATGTGCTGCGATGTCATAATAAATTTGTATTAATTTCTGTCGCAGATAAATCAAACGATGGCCAGAGCAGAACGATGGTGTCACAAGTGTCGATTGCGATGGCACCAATCGTCCTGTCAAAGAAGAGCGAGGAGCTTCCCGAAGTGTTTGACGACAATCTGTAATCACGCGATCGGCCACGACATTTTCACCACACAAAATAACTTCAACATTGAAAAGAATCAGTTGCAAAATAACAAAAAAATTATAATATTTCACGCATCTCAGTTTTAAAAGATGCAAAAAAACTTGGTCTGCGTTGTAAATACGTAGAAGACTCTACGGCGCCTCGTAATAAGAGCGAGAAACCAAGTATTTGATCACCAGGGGTTCAAGAATAACCACAACCAATCCTACTGTGGTGATGATTATTGTTATTATTATTACAGTGATTTCTTTTGTAAGTGTCTGGATATAAATGACGTCTTTTCCGACATACCAAAACAAATGAATAAATACAGTACACTAATCTTTGTGTGCTCTAATAAGTCTATACAACAGATAATTTTCAATATCATATAATAATAATATACGTAAATAAATATTAATATAATACAATATATTATATAATAATAATATTATATCTTATATAATAATAATCAGTACATCTTTATATTTTCTCTGCCCACATGGAATTACGGACACTGTCGGTCCCACCAGATGATATACGAGTGAATATGGCGTAGCGGTGGATTAAAATTGACAGAAATATTGAAGGACTCTGTGGAAATATCCAAGGGCCATTTTCTCAACCAAAAATCCCACATGGATTGCACGTGGCAACAAACCCAGGCCTCTGCAGTGAGAAGTTGGTAACGCTGAACTGCTAAATCACTATTAGAATGTAAAACTTCTCTTTTGGGGGGATAAGCCACATTGAATTCCTGCTATGAAAACCAAAAAAAAGAGCCTTTGTCTTCTGATTGGAATTGCTACGTGGATTTACAAGTAAACATAAGCATTTCAGAGGAGTACATATACCCTGAAGGTGGAGGTGAAGTTAAACAGCATCATTAACCAGAACGTGACAACCGAGATCTTCAAATCTCAAATATTTGATATAAATTAACATATCTGCAAAATGTACAAGTCTACAGGGTAGTAGAGGGGGCTGACATTCGTTGCCCCTTAATTTCCTCCCCTCTACAATTTGTATCATGTGTTTATTGTTCTGTCGCAACTAATCACAATCATTAAACTTCATTTTATAGCAAGACTCAAATGTTTGTAAAATATGTTAAAAAATTTATTAATACAGTAGATTCTGGTTAACTGGGCCATCGGTTAATCGGGGCAGCCGTTTATTTATTTTATTTGTTTATTATTAACTGCAAATGCGTTTTTACCCGGTGGCAGTGGTCCTACAATAAGACACAACAAAACAATAAGACACAACAAAACAATGGCACAACAAAAGAATAAGACACAACAAAACAATAAGACAAAACAAGACAATAAGACAACAAAACAATGAGACAGAACAAAACAATAGGACACAACAAAACAATAAGACAAGAAAACAATAAGACACAACAAAATTAAGACACAACAAAACAATGGCACAAAAACATAAGACACAACAAAACAACACATCACACAAAATAAAACAACTCATAAGATTACAAAACCATAAGGCACAAGTATTTAAACACAACAGATAACCTAAAGTAGATAACTTAAAAATTCATACCAACTAGACATAAGACAAAGTGTTCTAGTCCTGATGTGTTCCAACCAGAATCTACTGTAGTACTATAAAATTCATTACACATCATTATTCTGTCATTTTATAATGCAAATTAAATACGTGCAAAGCGTTATTAATGAGTCGTGCGAACGGTAATTAAAAATAGCCTATAAATTAGTACAAAATCTGATATTATATGAAACTATTTATGTAATGCACAAAACTAGAACCTATATACTACAACAATTATAAGTACAATAAAGGCTTTCGACCCAACCTACAATGCAAGCCAACATTCAACAGCAGCTCTTAAAACTGGCTGATGCGATGTCTTGGATGCTTCTGCATGTCATATGACCTCGTGAACCAACGAGCTTCAGGGAGTTGATGTATAAAGTATTCTGTTACCTCAAGCATAAGTAGGCGCCATTTGTATATGCGTCTCTCCTTTCGAACCACCCGCCTTCACTCGTGTCTGTCGGCGATCTTTCGGCAACATTACAGGAGGCACGTCACGTCATCGTCTTTACCTCAATCCTCTCGTATACTTAACCACGTTACGTATTCACCTCCGATAAAACGGAATTCTGAAAAGACATTTCGGCCGAGTATCTAGACTCGACAGATTATTCGTGTAATTTCTCTTGAAATTTAATCTGTGAATGTAAAATATGACTCATTATAATTGTTTATTTATTCTCTCCAGTCTGCAGAAGGCATCTTCACAACCCACAAGTCGACTACCACAGCCGGAGTGATACTTCAATTCAGTTCAATTCAATTCATTTATTGCTAATAATCAAGAAGCAAATTACCTGAATAAAATGTCTAAGCAAAATATTCTCCTCGTTAAAGACGTTGATGCGCTGACGGACTGCGTTGGCAGCAGAAACGTGCCTAAACAAGGGACTCGCCTTAAAACTACTATGAACAAAAAACGTGAAGTAGTCTCTGATGGATCTGGAGGGAATGCTCAAAGAAACTGAATCCGAAACGGATGGGCAGCAAATTTTGCGTTTAAAAGAAAGCCAGATAATTTGAAATTATTCTAAGCACCCAATTCCAAACTGTTAATCACATTCCATATCGCACACAACGTACATTAAGTTTCTACCGTGCTTAACTAAGTACTGTGTCACATGCAGGAGGAATATCTCGATACATTCTTGGCCTCGGCATTAGATGTGAGGAAATGTTTAACTTCTCATCCTGGCTGCTTAACACCCCAAGGAAACAAATCAAGTACCCTCTGCTTAGGAGGCTGGCTGCGGCCCGGTCTGTCGACGTTGCGGCGAGGAGAAGACACCCGGTGGGGATCAAACCCACGCTGACTTGAGTTACCTGATATGGGGCATCATGTCCACCTTATGCGATGACACGCAGTTTCACAGAAACGTCAAGATCGATGCATAAATGATGCTTCTATCGTCAGAAGTCTAGGCGTTAATTGCGAGTATCATCCTGGATTTGTGTTTTTTATCTGACGATGCTGTCAACGGCTCGGACTATACAGCATTTGGATGATTAATGGGTAATGAATTGAAAGGAAGGATTTTTGGATTAATTTAATGAATTATCGCAGCATTTCCATGCAGAAACTGAGGGGAAAGAACAAACTTCAGTCAGATTACCTGGTTGCTAGGACAAGATACGGACAAAGGACCTCCTGGATATGAAACAAATTGTGGTCGCTCGACCATGACATTCAGTCTGTATTTTTATCTATATGGATCTATGTTAGAAGTAGAAACATTCAAAGGCCTTGGGATTCCATTTTATATGGGTTTTACCGCGCAGATTAACATGTGGGAATCGGACTAAACGATGCTTTTACAAGAAACTGGGCACGTTCCTATAAAACCACGACAGCAATGTCAAAATTTAATGAATTAAAGCCTTCATTACCCTTACCATTTATAAGTCTTCTGAATCCTGTAGGATTTCCTTGTCATATCCCGTTGCTCCGCATTCATACATTTCGCTAACCGAGGTGACAGGTTCGAGTTTCACGTTTAAAGTCGGTTGCACAAACGCTCTCTGATCAGAAGAACTTGCACCATGATTTGCGACTGAAAAGGCAGCGGCCGGAGAAAGCTGATCTCTCCTCAAAACGATCTCATCCCCCTTCTCGGCATCATCAGCTGTCCTGACGATCTTAAAAGCGCAGCTGCTCGACGTTCCAGCCGACTCGAACAGCCCTTCTTTAAGGCAGCCGTGAACCTGCCGGTAACGGTTATACAGGATGCTGTACCCCACGCCGAGCAAGTCGGAGCAGTTCCGAAGCGTCATTTCACGATCGCTCACGGCTCTCAGTGCCCTGACCACCCACGGTTTCTTCCAGAATTCTTGGTAAGTGCCGTGCTGTTTCAAGAAATCTGGGAGACTGATTATACCTTCCGTATAATCCACTTCATCCGTGTGATTCTTGCGTTGTGAAGACGGCTGAAATGAAAAATTCACAGGTTGTGAATTTAATTTACGATCTGAAACTCTATCTGGGAAGAATTACTGTATAAAGTGAAGCTTCTGCGGCGACTCAAGTTGACGAGAGACTCTCGGGTTACATGCCGCGTCGTGACGGTAGATATGGTTTATTCACCAATCAGAAACTTGACGCGGCTTGTACCCCGAGAGTCTCTCATTTCTGAAACAGACTGCTGTTAATGTAAAATCCCAGTCACAGAAATTACAATACAGTCAATTGGTGATTTTAAATGTCAAATCCCAGAAGAGTGTACTCAACTGGTTGAGCGGCCGTCCCTGTTCCATCTTGTGCAACGTCGACACCAATATTTCTTCGAGGAATCTTCACCTGTAAAAAAAAAATATGAAAATATACAGCGATTTTTAATTTCTTTGTGGAAAAACATCTACAGTTAAGATTTTATCCACCTCATTCTGCCTGATCAGTAACAGGAAAACAGAAAAACTCGAAACAGGTTATTATTTTTTCTCCTAAAAGAAAAATAATTACCATAACAAAAGATTAATATATCTCAAAGATCTCTTACCACACCATCATTTTGTGCCCCTCTAGTGACTGGTATCACTGTAACTCCCAGCACAAAAGTTAATGTGTCCGTAACATTATTTTTGTCGTCAATTAAGATGAGTAAGCGTGGGTTGATCTAAAATAGTAAACGTTCATCCCCAAATTTCATTAAATTTTGGTGAACCAGTTTAAGAGTTCAATGGCCTTTACTTTTTTCAAGGAAAGTTAAGTTTAAAATTAGCAAACTATAACCAAGCGTTACCTAAACAGAAAATCAAACAGTTAACACACAAACAATTTTATATAAAATGGTTACGACACTCACTGGCCTGTGAACTACGTCTTCAGAAGTGGAGACTGTCTTCTTCAATATTTGACCAATTCTACTGGGGTCTAACGACTGGCCATCATTAGACTGATGTTCCATCCTTGTACGCTGCTGCTCTCCTGTTGAATTTCCTGTACCTGCAGACTCGGCAGGGGCGCCGAGGCACTGTCCGTAAATGTCCGACAATCCCCTTATCTTCAGGAAGTCCGCAGTTTCAAGCACAGATTGCAGTTGGCCCTAAGACACGCAGAATTTATTTCAGAATAAACGAGGAGAGAGAAAAAAAAGAAGAAAGACTTGACGCAAGTCAAACACAGTTCCCTACAAACTACCGGCGGATCAAGAACTTAATGACGGCAATACCGCAGTCTAGAATTTTGTAAAACAGCTTCTTCAGGTATTCAAAGATGTCACATTTTAAATTTGTAGCTTACATCGAGTAGAACACACAATTTAGGTAGAATATAATCCTGCACATTTCTAACATTAACCTTCACAAAATAAACAGTGCAGTATAAATTTTCATGTGGTCACATTTAACCTTCTATTGTAGATAGGACAAATGTTACGGCGATATCTGAGTGGCGTCAACAAATAAGCGACGTTCTTGCTACGAGACCTGCCTCCGCAGGCGGTCAACCGTGAAAGCAATTCTACGTCGAACATGACAAATATGCGGAAACAAACGTGACTGATAATCAGGCTGGTGACGACAGAGTTTCTTTGATGTCGAATGTGATCATTCCAAATTACACCAAAATAACATCTGGAAATAAGGTCTTCGACTCGTCTCGTCAAAAAAACAAACTGATATTTTACGCACACAAAATTAATCTAAAATTATTAGCAATGAACGCTTCATATCACTGCTTCATGACACCACGTCATGCGTGCGCGATGGAGATGTTTTGGAATGCAACATTCTCTCTGAATGTACCAAACGCCTTTACATTCAATTGCAAACCCTCCTGCCTACCTTGGACCTTCCTGATGGTGTATTCTAGCGCAAAGTTAAAGATCAAGGGAGACAAAGCATCTCCTTGTTTTAGACCGTTCTTGATGAGGAATGTCTCAGATACATATTTACCTACTCGAATTTTGCTACAGGTTTCATTTAAGCACATTTTTATTAGACCCACTAGCTTCTTTGGTATACCAAATTCAATAAGAATATTATATAGCACTTCTCTCTTCACAGAGTCATAGGCTTTTTTGAAATCTATAAATAACTGATGTACAGTCCCACCGGACTCCCATTTTTTCTCTAGTATCTGACGAATGCCAAAGATCTGATCAATCGTTGATCTGTTTCGTCTGAACCCACACTGATGATCCCCAATAGTTTCATTCGCATATGGGGTTAATCTTGCCAAAAGAATGTTTGATAGAATTTTGTATGAGGTTGATAGCAGCGATATTCCTCGGTAATTACCACACTCAGTCTTGTCCCCCTTCTTATGAATAGGAATAATTATGGATTCCTTCCATTGTTGTGGCATCTCTTCCTTATCCCAAATTAACCGAATAAGCTTATGGATCCTCATATGAAACCCTTTGCCACCTGCTTTAATTAATTCGGCCGGAATCTGATCAATTCCTGGAGATAAATGCAAGAATTACATTAAATTCCTGGAAACTGAGGGCAGAATTAGATATTATAATCCACTACGAAGTGAGCGGAGAAATTATGATCTGAAGACGCGTATACCAACCTCTTCTATGTTGACCTCGCCATCGTACATGAACCGAACGAGGGCCGACATGTCTTCAAATCTGACGTCCTTCAGAATAACAACTGGGTTCTGGTCTTTGTAAAGGGACAGTATCATTTCAAAGTAGGAACTGCAAGCAGACAACACGAGCTGGAAACAAACACGTCGAACAGGATTGTAATCGCGTTGGAGTGAACTTCACAGAACTGGGCATTTCAATGCAAAGAAACTAGATCTATGGAGAAAATTACACAATTTCTGAGAAAGTAAGAGAAATATAAATTACCACAAGATTTTACAATCCAAGTTTCACATATTAAAACAGACTGATGGTAATTTTCATCGCCAAACACTGAAAAAAACATAAAAATTCAAGTGTGAGACATCAGTGGAAAGAAACTATTCACCCCCCGAAGATGGAAACTGTGTCTCGTCTTAAAACACTTCTAATAACGAGGGAACGTGACCACACGTGCATTTTACCACTACTTAACGGTACGATACAGAATAAATAACACAATCGCGCGATCAATCCGTTTGTAACTTTCGAAGAAAGAAAAATGGAAGGAAATATATAAATGGCATAATTTTATATATCAGTAAATAAACATTCATCATGTAAATTAATTTCTTAATGCTATTCATATATTTAAATACTTTTTTTCTACATTGCTATTTCAACATGTACAGATTCTAGCTTTGTAATGATGAATAAACGTGACACAGAGGAATATCGAACGATTGACACAACTTTTACTTTAAAAATATGTCTCCATTAACCTAAAACATACCTTGTGAGCTCGAAGAAGCTTCTCTTCGCACGCGATTGTGACATCGCAAAAGCTCTCTTTCTGCAGGAGTTTTGCAAACATGGTCTGTTGATTGCTGTGATGAAACTTCCACTTCAAGCAATATTGTTGTTCTTCAGCTGATGATACAAAAGACGACTCACATTCTTGTGTAACACTTTCACCACCACCACCACAATCACCTGGTGAATTCTGTTCATTATTTGCAGAAATCAGAACTTGTTTCTGGATATCTGGTACCATCCTCTTCTTACTGGTGCCCTGTAAGTAAAGTTTTGTAATGTATTGATATGTGCCACTGAGTAAATTAACTGCATTAAACCATCAATATATTTTAAAAACTAACACAAAATGACTTAAGGATCACTCAATAGGCAGGGCACAAGAGGGGTAACTGCTCCTGAGATTGTTCACTTCAATCCAATTTAATTATACCAACCTAACCTATAAATAAAATTAAACCATCCACTGAATGCAACATAACCTAAAAATATTATAATGAGAGCCGGCCAAGTCTTTTTTTAAAGGAAATGTAATGTAGTAAATAAGTAAAATAACACGTTTAATTGTCGATTTCTACTGCAGAAAGAAAATTTAAGTTAAACTGTGAAAGATAATACTTCACAATCGATTGTTTTCGTTCTGAAACGTGGAGTAGTCATAAGTCATTAAATTCTTACGAATAATTTATGTTCTATATACCTGCTTAAGGCCTTCGTGGTTTCTTAGAATTTCTTCACTGACGTTGGCATTTTTTATGCTTCCGTTTTGTGTAACAGACTGTGACTGTTCCAACACTCTTGTCATTTTGCGACATCTTGCAATATGCGCAGATAGGTTGGTAGTATTTCCAGAAAACAGAAGCTGGTTATCACACAGACGACACCACACGTAACGTCTGTATACATCGGTTATCGTTCCAGATTCATCGGCTTCGAATCCAAAATAATTCCAAACTTCACTTCTTGCCGCTTTTGGTACAACTAATCTCCGAGCCATAATAAGCACGTTCAAATCTTATGAAAATATATTACTTAAATGAATATGAATATCTGATAGATAACCTCTGCTCATCAGCCGGATCGATATCAATCAGGTTCTATATGATTGGGTATCATATTATCGAGACATTGTAAAGTATCGATTCCACTACGTTTCGACGAGAAACCGATAATCGATATAAATTTCTACTACCAGTCCTAAAAACATGTAACTTTACTTTAATTTTAAAATGCTGAAAAGATGCCTGAAAATTTTTTTAAGTGTATTATCAAGTATTTTACTGCTTTCAACACACTTAACTATAAAGTTACACCCAAATTAATAAAATCTTCTCGGACAATCAGCCACGTCAACTGGTTTCGGGAACCAACTCTGTCCCCATCATCAGGGTTCTGTGTAAAATAACACAGGCAGCTTCCGAGGTATCCAGTCACATCAGAACCCTGATGATTGGGACAGGGTTGGTGCCCGAAACGTCGGTTTACTACAGTAACCAGTTCACGCGGCAGATTGCCCGAGAAGATTTTATTCGATGTACTCGCCGCGAAAGCCTCAAACCCTATACATCCAAATTGCACAAAATTATAATGTGATATAAATTAATGTAATGTAGTGAACACACTTGGTTATAAATAGCATCCCGTAAGGTCGAAAATCCCTTAACAGCAAGTGATCATCAACCTAACCAACCAAGGAACAATGCTGATTATTTGGGTAAATATGTGAGCCCCTCTTAACACTAGTACTAGATAGAAGAAAATGTAACATTTTTATTCCTTTCTGTTACAAGTTAGATTAACAATAAAAAAAGGTCATGTTCATGACTACAAGTTACGTCAGAATTTCTTGGAACTTTTCCAGATATCATATACACGTGGAAAATAAACGTGATCGGATTGCGAGAAGTCAGTTCTTGGAAGCTTTAATACTTCGACTTTTCATGTAAACATGTTAAAGACACCTGCAGCTTTTTTGTAAGCGTCATTTAATTTCTCTGAAAAATGTACAGAATGGACAACTTCGAGCAGAATTTTGCTTTGAATTAGTTAAGCAAAAATAAAGAGCTCACATATGAACATGGATTAGTGGTTTAGTACAATTGCGTGTAATTTTTAAATAATTTTGTAAAGTTCCTGCTTTCCTCAGTGATGTGACGGTCCTCAAAGTAAGCTGAACTTAATTTAGTGATAATATAGTATATACGTGTTTCACAACGTAAATTATTGCCAATTTGTAAGGCCAAGAAATGTAGTTCTTCGTAGGTGTACAACTGTTTTAACCTTTCTACGTCATCTGAAACCAAACTGGTCAGCATGTCATTCAAGCCTTCATCCTTGCACTGGTTCTATCCTAGTTGCCCTAGTAATACTTTGTGAACATTATACTAGTTAAAGGAGGCGTGAGACACGTTTCCAATGAAGTCACATAATGACGAAATACCATCGGGCGTGTAGATATCGTATTTACTTAGAATAGAAGTATTTTATATCTGATAAAGTTATAAAACAAATATCCAATCTTCCTAGTAGAAAACTGTATTTTTTTAAATTACTTTTTATGCATAGAGCAATCCACCACTGACATATGCATATTCATTCGTCTTCTTATAAGGCATTCTTTATGGGTAGTGACTTCATTGTTTACACTTCGCATTCTGTTGAACTTTCGAACGCAATCAGCGCGAAAGGAGCACAGCTCTGAGAATATGAAATCCATTGCTTATACATCGTTTAGTTCCTCTAGATTACGCTCTCGCATTATAAAGTTCAGATTTCCTTGCGATTAATTTGACTTTATAGGTCAGCATTATCTTAGTCTACAAAGCGGTTAAGATTTCTTTATACCGACAAGACTCTTTCTTACGACGGATTGGTTTTCAAGTTATCTAACGAACAAATATGAACCAAATCATCTCTTAGTCAATATAACCAGGAAGATAAACAATTATAATAAAGAAAGAACACCATTGGACACTATCCTAACCCATTTTCACCCATCACGCGTTTTCTCTAGCCATTCTCCTGAATGTTATTCATAAGTTGATATAATTGCGTCATATTGTGAATTAAAATTTAATTACTTTGTAAAAAGTTGTACCAAATATGTAAATGATATTTTAATATCTTATGTATCATTTTATTTATATACAATTGTGATTAGACGGAAAAAACACGAATAATTCTCCTGAAATAAATATATTTATGTCACATCCAAATGTAGACTACTTTTCGGTCTGCAAAAATTTCCCCCAGAAAAATTCTATAAGCAAGTTTGTTGTCTGCTCCCTCCAACACGAAACCCAAAGTAATAAGAGCCAGTTTCCGAAACGTCGCGGTTTCTTTCTTTTAGACAAGAACGATGGAAAAAGTCCAGATAATGAACAATTTGAAGTGTAATCCACCACCGTCAAAACCCTTCAGAATTGAACCAAAGCAACGTCTTCGATTTTACTGACCTAACAGCACTTTGATATTGAGAAGATTTTCTATACAAACTGGAAGTTTTGTTTGTTCTGTCTGACGACAGGTCCATATGAACAGGGTCCTTCCATCCTTTTCTCGGACTGGGATCTGTTCATATACGTTCTTGGCAGATGATCCAGAAGTGGTTTGCCATTGCCTTCTTCTGTGTGTGAATGGAGTAATTGTTGGGATGCCACGGAGGAAAACTCCGTGTTGCCTAAGACCACGGCCTTGCTCAACACAAGTTATAAATTCGGGCACCGCCGGGAAGATTAAGATTACAAAACCATAAAACACAACAGATAACCTAAAGTAGATAACTTAAATATTAATACCAACTAGACGTGCAATAATATATGACTAGACGTTGCCAAAGTCACATCTACCGAAATGGACTTGCGTTATTCCCCAACCGAACGACAGGAAACAGAAAAATATTTCACACGGTCAGTATTCAAACAAAACGAACTGTGATCTTCTCAGAACATATTTTCACCATATTCAGCAAAGTTTCACCCTTTTTATGCAAGTTATAAAAAAAATCAAACCAGTTCTTAAACTTATACAGCTTAGTGGTATTTAAAAGGGATCGCAAAGAGTTAACAGGTTAATCTGAACACGAGAATGCCTGCAGGTAAGAATAAATAATAGGTTGGAGTAAACACATCCTCAGTTATGGTATATAAGATAGGGCAAGAACGTCGTATTACGTGACTATATCATCAGTTAGCATTTCGCTTGGTTGGTTTAGCTTCGAATATTTCTGGGTTATTGACGCTCTGAAGGCAGATATCATTTGCCCATAAGTGGAAACACGCTTATGAGTCACCGCACACATCTACTCCGGTGCAAGTGCACCGAGGTCGCATTACATATCAAAACAACAACAACAACGAAACAAAGAAATACTTGTACGAAAGTTCCACGAAAACAAATCTTTAATACGTGTCTGAACAAAAAGTTGTCAGTGGAACGACGGTTCCGGAGAATTTGACGTAAATACGTCTTTACGGAAAGGAAGTTTATATTTTGGCTTTATTCTAAATATTTCCTTTATACATGCTTTAAAATTGAGTAAAGTTTGATTAAGACTTTGCTTATTTAACTTGAATTAGTTACGCTTAAGATGGGTCTGTGGTAGCTGAATGTAATGTAAAGTAATGTAATGTAATGTTTTCTAGGTAACAACAATGCCGAGTAAACAGATTACGTTTCCTAGGTAACAACAATGCCTAGTAAACAGATTACGTTTCCTAGGTAACAACAATGCCTAGTAAACAGATTACGTTTCCTAGGTAACAACAATGCCTAGTAAACAGATTACGTTTTCTAGGTAACAACAATGCCGAGTAAACAGATTACGTTTCCTAGGTAAAGTAACAATGCACGCAAGCTGAACATTGTTGTTGATCCATATTAACACATTGTTGATATGGAACTTACACGTTTTCCTAACGATGTTTTGCCGAATGACACTTCCGTATAGACGTATTTACGTCAAAAATTCACAACTGATATCAGACAACGCAGAAGTGAGTTGTATTTATTTATCGCTTTGCCGTGTTTCCCTCCCACCCTAGGGTATTTTAGAAACTGTCATTCAACGAAAGACTTGCGTGCGTCTTGAACAAGGTCACGTGGAGTCCCTAAATAGATTAAGCTGGAATCAGAAAAAATATATATATAAATAAAAAAATAAACAATGTTGTTACGAGTGTTGGAAATGTCCACCGCCTTCGACAATGCATGCATTTCAGTCCGAGAAAAGGATGGAAGGATCCTGTTCATATGGACCTGTCCTCAGACAGAACACTAAATAATAATGTCTGAAGCATTGTATCACGTGACCTTGAACTCTTTCTGGCAAACCATGTAAGAAAGAGACGCACTGCAGTGTTCGACAATGAACTGTTGGAAACCTTCGTGGTTCCACTCCCTAATTTACGAGAGCAAGGTAACTCTCACAATACGAGCAGAGTTACGTAATTAGTGTCACCGATATTTCACATGAGAACGACTTTGCTGTCTTGATACCTCGCCGATGGCGTAACCTGAGAATTGTCACGCATTAAGCGTATTCGAAGTACGAGAATTACTTATGTTACCTCGGGTGAAAGGATTAGGTCACCAGATTATTTTACCAATCAGAGACCAAGGTTTAAAGATTTCACTCCCCCCCCGCCCCCGGACAATTTAACTAATTTGAATTAGTATAAAAAGAGTCTGAGATTACGCAGTAGTCGTCGAGACGAGTAGCTGGAACGGACGAGATAAATTCTCTCATAACTTCTGAGGAAAATCTATTTTACGTGAAAATTTATATATATATATATATCAAAAATAAAAAAAATACCTTTTGCTCATACAGCTTAAAATTAATGGAACGACAATCAGTGGAGATTGGAGCAGGAATCCTCCAAGAGGACATCAGTTGCCAATATTTTTCGGGAAACCTTTATATTACTACCAGTTACAGATAGATAGATACTCGAAGTTTACTGGACCATGTTATCTCATCAGACTTGCCTCAGCTGATCTCGGACAATGAAAGCCAACAGTTGGACGCATACAGCAATGAACCTCTTCGACGGAGTCGGCCGTCCTCCCAACAACCTCGGAGGAAACCTTCGTGGTTCCATTCTCTAATTTACGAGACCAAGGTAACGCTCGCAATACGAAAGTACTTACGTAATGAATGTCACATGTGTACTTCGTTTTCGTCGTGATACGTCGCCGCTAGCGACGATTCAAGGATTACAACTGTAATCTACGCATTGTTACACATTATGCATACTCGAGACAGGAGGATTACTGATATAACCTCGGATGAAAGGATTAAGTCACCAGATTATTTCATCAGTCTGAGACCAAGGTTTTAGATTCCAACAGACACTTTAACTACTTTGAATTAGTATAAAAAGAGTCTGATATTAACCAAGCATGTTGTGTATCATAGTCGGCGTTTGTGGGTATTTTTTGTTTCACTGTCATTGATTCACTAAGTAAGAAAGTCATTGAGTAACTTCAGAATAAGAACTGTAACATATCTGAACTAGGTACTGGTTCTGTTTAGACTTAGGTAATGAGATTTATATTTGTATTAATTAGGTTTAGGGGCATTATAATCTTTTGTGTAACAATTACTGTTTAGATTTAATTAAATAATTTTTGTTATAATACATCCACATAACAGTGATAACCTCTA